TTTAGGGACACATCAAAATCATCGTCTGAAGTTCTTGCAACCGAAGTTATGTGTGAAATGACAATCGATTGACTCGAATTCAATTGATTTAGAGATGATTCCATATCTTGCCTGCAATATGCATGATAATCGTTAAACGGTGCTTGTTTTACCATTAATTTCATTGAAAAAATATGAAGCATTAACGCACGAACAAAATGAACTTGCTCTAGAATTATTGTAAACAAGGATAGTGGCACGTTTTTAGGAAAAAAAAGAAACAAACAACTCACCTTCCAATGTCCGATTAATTAACCGTTCTCCTTTTGGATTTTTAATCCATTGAAAGAATCGAGTTGGTTCGACTTTGACTTCAAGTAATCTCATCTGTATTGGAACCATGGCTTCATTGATCATATCTTCCGCAATGGATACTTGCGCTAAGAGCACATTTGCACTTATTCGATCTGGTGATAAATAGGCTTGTATAATTAAATTGTATATTTGTTGCAGATCTTGTAAACAATACATGAGACGATTTTCAACGTCAAATGTAGCGAATAGAGGAAAAACAAGTATTGAAACGACTAATCCCACACATATTCCAATGACAGACATTTCGAGTAATTCAAAAATGAATGTTGATGGCACAGCTCGAAGATTGACAATCGAAGAAAAAAAGATGACATTCAATACGAGACCGAGCTTGCGAATTTGTACCTATGTATATAAATATTCAAGTATTTGTGAATGATTCTCTGATTATCTCCTTTAATACTTCACGAAGCAAAAACAAAATGAGATTTAATTACTGAAACAACTTTCATCTACTCTGATTGTATGGTCTTTGAACTGTAGACGGTTATAAATGAAGCTATATAAGTCCCGTCATATAATCTACTTTTAATCATTTGAATACCTACTTGTGTACATGCGTACGAGATGAAGAATGTTGCAAGAATCAGCAAGAGCTCGCCTGCTAGATAATCTTGATAGCCAAGGCCAAGTTTTTGAACGATAAAAAGAAATATAGATACAGGTACAAGAATCAATAGTATCTGTATGCCACCCAACAATGTCAATGCGAATGTTTCTTGTATGCATATTGTACTCAGAACTGGAAGCAAATAGCTTACAGCACGTTGATTACGAATTGGCGTCCCATAAGCAAGACACCCACCAATAATAAACGATGCCAAAAATCGAATAGCAAATTGAAGACGTCGAGTAAATATTGAATAAACACGTACTGTCATCGATTCTATCGGACGATAGTTGCAACAGAAATGAGAAATAGACTGAAACATTGTTGTAAATCACAATTTCGTTTCTAAATATTTTGTGTGATGTTGAGCATAATCGATCGAGTGAAAAGTAAAAGCGAAGCAAAGGTAATTATATATGAAAGCGATGAATAGAAGGTAATTATATATGAAAGCGATGAATAGAAGGTAATTATGGGGCTTACTAATACCATACCTATCAGCGTAAACATGTTTTTACCTTATCAATATCACTAACCAATGAATGTGTTACACAACATGTTATAACATAAATGGAAGTGAATAGGAAAAAAATGTATTTTTGATTTCTGATTGCAGAGTAATTTCGAAGATTGGACAGTGAAATAAATCCACCTCCCTCTCCCTTGATGAATAGATTTCAAGTTGACATGTTGCTGAAAGAACAAAGAAAAGGTTGTACTGGCTGAAACAGGATCCACAATGTACAACTTTGATATATGAACCTGAAAACAACAGAACATGGAGAGAAAAAAAACTAAGTATATAAGGTTAGAATGATCGATAATCAGTGTGTGAACTGAAACTTCATGTATGATTTACCTTGGATAATTTGTGAACCGTATAACAGAGACATCTCATGAATGGTCTTTTCAGACTGTCGGAAAGCGCTGAAAATGCGAGTAAATGTACAAAAAAGAGAAACAATGGACACGTGAGCTTTCAAAAAGCGATCAGTTTTAATACACCGACCTTTACTTGACCAAATTTTAACAGCTACTAAACGAAAAAGACGCTCTAAAATGCGCATGAGAGATATTTGAAAAATCATTTTTTTAACGTCGGAAAAATGAACATTTTTCACTTTGTGAAAATATCATCGTTAGTGCTGAAACTCGTATAGCTTGAACAGGGTACGAGTGCATTAGTAAGAAGTACATTTCGTGCATGGGCGCAAATAAAACAAAAGTGGAAAGGCATCTATTTCGGAGTTAGAATGAAGCGAAGGTTGGCCGCATTTGGCTCATCCTTTCTCTCTTCTTTTGCCCGTTTACACGCACTTTCGGTGCTTTCTGACTGTCTGGGTTGTCCTTTTGATTTCGTGTTCTCTCATCAAGTGACCAAACGAAAATGAAAGCGAAAAATAGAACTCAAACGGAAATGAATATCTGAAAGTAACATGAAGACATGTGATATACCTGTAACATACCTTACACACATAAATAAAATTTCTTATTGAATTGATTAGAACACTGCATTATTTTTCAGTGATAAAATAGCATTAAATTAGTAATTGTTCACTTTTTATTAGAAAAAGCACTGATTCTCATAAATAGTCTAGCCGTAAATATGTAGTCTTTTGTGAAGTAGTACAAGATTGAATCAATATCAATTCTGAAGAACTGCGTAAACATGTAACGTTTGTGTTGCTTTTTCATTTGATGTCAACATATTTGATCATAACTTATGATCAAATACTAACATTCACCTATAATTTATATTGCATATCAGTAAATGCGAATATTCGAATTTTGAAATGTCAAAAGAGGTAAATGTAGAAAACGAAAAACGTCCAACATAGTAATCTTACGAACATAATCATTCTTTTTTTATTAATGAAAAATATGATAGAAGCCAGAGAAGTATCATTCACAGATGGTCAAAGAAGAACGAACCAATATTAGAGTATTACAATAGTACGACGAAAAGATGTGTTGAACAGAACAATATGCCGCTTTATAGACAAGATATCTATATTATATTTTACAAGTTTTCTTCTTCTTCTTCTTCTTCAGGAACTTTCATATGATTGGTCACAGAGGGTGTGGGGGGTGGGTGTGGGAGGTGGGTGTGGGGGTGTGGGTGTGGGGGGGTGGGTGGGGGGGGAGGAGGGG